CCGAAACCCAAACCGGAACGTTATTTTGAATCGGTTTCATTCCTTGCCCTCAGATGACAAAACATATTAGGCTTAAAAAATTTGCATAAAAATATTTAAAAATCTTTTCAACGGAATCGTAAAAATGAGAAATTTGATGCTGTTTTTTTTTTACTTATATTAAATTTAAATAGCTGGGCCAAAACTAGGCACTCTGAATTAGACTTATGGGATCTCGGTAGAAAGATATTTTGCCATATTTTTTTTTATTATTTTTTTAAATACCAACACATCTTTCTCTTTCTTAAAGTTTTTCTTATACCAATCTTTGAAAAAAGCTAAAAAACAGCACCAAATATCCCATTATTAGATACGATTACGTTCAAAATTTTTTTATTTTCTTTTTAAATAATTTTATATAAATTTCTTCAGATTAAACCGTTTTGACATTTGAGGGGATTTTTCAAAAAAAATCTTTAAGAAAGTATATATTTTTATTCATAAAAAAAAATTGCATTTTTGGAGGTATTTTCCAGCTCGCTTAAATCTTAATGCAGTTTTCGCGCAAATGAAAATATAGTTCTGAAACTAACAAATTGCCGGCTGTAGATGGCGCTGATAATTATTATTAGTCAGTCATGAGAAATGTGCGGTCCCCACTGGCAAAATATTCTCTGATAACATTATTAAGATAAAAACTGCTGCCTGTGGAGACGCCCCGTTAGTAAATTTCGCAATTTTATAGTTTGACAGCTACTCTGTTGGCGGGTGACCTGTGCCGACACATTTACTAAATTCTCATCTCATCGTTAATAACGAGCGCACAGTTTTCTAGCCGCTATAAACGGTCTGATTAGAGGCCGCAATTACAAACTTACTTACAAACTTGCGCAATTATTAACATATATATGGATTGCGTTAATTTACGCTTGCTTTACTAAATATGTACGCTCATTTGTGCGCTCGCTCACTCGCAAACGCTTGGCCAACAACACACTCCTTAACAAATATCTACCCGTGCTACTATCAATCAGGCTGCTTAGCTTGCGCACATGACGACCGCCATAACTACAGCTGCAGCGCATAATCCACCATTGCGATTTTTTCGGCTGCTGCTGATTGGCTCTGACACGTGCTGAACGCCTTTTGCGCACTCATCGCTTGTTGCGGCACTCCAACGGGCGTACTCATTTCAGCAACCATCTTTGTAGAACCAGCTGCTGTACGAGTGAGCGAGAGCGCAAAGGCGGCAATGCATGTTAGCTGGGCTCACACGCAAAAGGGCGCATGCAATGTACTGTTCTAACATTTAGGTTTGTTTTGGGTGCTCACATTTTTTTGTTGCGCCTTTGCGTATCTCGCACATTACGGAGTATCTCTTGTTTGGCTGTTGATGTTTTTTTTTTGCTTTTCTTGCTTTATTTCTTGTTTCGACCGACAAACAGCTTGCACCAATTTTCTCTTTGTGTGGAAGGAAACTTGTTTGGCTGGCTTTTTTTGCTGCCCGCCGTCATCGGCATTGCCGCCTACGGGTTAACTCTGCTGCCACAATCATCGTCGGCGGCCCATTGTCGTTAGCGGGATCTCCACTTACTCACTTGGTTAGTTAAGATTTGATTGTCGAGTTTAACTGTCGACAAACAAGACACGAATGGCACGACATTTACAGTGGTTATACATAGATATGTACATATGTATCTACAAGAGCGAGTGCTTGCCGTACCAAGGAGAGCGACTAGTGGCGAAGAGAGTGTTGGGCTAAAAATCAGAATGAAACCAATTGAAATACAGGCAAAGTGCTAGCACTCATACAACGAAAGCCGCCACCACCACTATTGCAGTTCAAATCTCGCCATGTATTTTGTGTATTGTGGAAAATAAGAAGAACAACAACAACGCGGCGCTAGTTGCATATGTATGTACCTACATATCCATATATATGAAAGCAGGGAGAGTCGGCAAAAAACTCGAAAATCAACTTGTCTAGTTAGCAAACTTCAATCTAGTTTCGAACAGTTGCCTGCGAAACGTCGAGTGGAGAGGTTGGCCCGATTGGATGTTAGTGCGCAGTGTCGGCCGTCAAAGAGTCAGTCAGTCGTACATTAAAATTAATTGTTAACAAGCAAACTAGAAAAACAATAACAGCAAACATATACTGCAATGAGAAGTAGTGTCAAGTGAAGAGTGAAGGCGCATGCATGCAAGCAAATATACATACATACAAACATAGCATACGTATGTACATATACATATAAGAATGCAGACGATTTGATTGAGTAAAGTGAAATGTTGAGTTGTGCGCAAGAAGCACCAACAAAAAAAAATAAAATAAATAAATGAGGCGGCTAATCAGAGAGAATCTTAAGGAGAATCAACGTTTGTTAGAGGTTTGTTGCAGCGCGACTTGACTCGTACGACTAACTGATTTGTAATTTGATTGATTTCAATTTTTGTGTCGGCTGTCCGCTGTCAGTTCTCAGCTAACTGCAAACGTGTTTAGATGTCGGGAAACTAGTTGCTGCGTACGTGCGCTCGTTAATGCAATGCAACATTGAACAAAAAAAAAATAGAATAAATTTATGAAAATAAAATTAATTGTAAAGTACTAGGCATAACAACAATACACAAGACAGTGATTTAAATAATTTCCAAAGTGTTGCCTGCAATAAACTAATATCTAACTTTAAAATAAAATATACCTACTGTGAACAAATTTTCGAGTTCGAAAAAAATATATCGGAAACTGTGCACATCACTCTCGCCCTCTAGTTCCTCGCTTTTGGTGTGTTTTTATCCGTCGGCTTTAGTAGACCAACGCCCATCGAGCATCTTCATACACCACGTACGCTTATCGTAACATGCTTTGTCCGCTCACCATGCGTCCTGCTAGCCCTGCTGAATCAGAAATCTCCGTCGGTGGCGCACCCAGCCCATTGCCCCACCACCAAAGCCAGCACCACCATCAACCATCTCATGCACAGCCGTCACAACACCGCAGCACCATCGATCTGCTGCAGCATCAACAAATGCTCATGCAACAAC